GGGCTGGTGACCAGGACCCCTGGGGACCGTGTAGCTTAAGCACATCACTTAACCCCTTTGAGCCATGCATAGAACAATGTCTCTGAGGCTTCTTTCCTCTTAACCAGCCCATCACTTTATAGAAATTCAGTGTTCTCTGCTAGCCCTTAGACTCTAGTTCAGCCTACCCTGGTCTGCTGCCTTTGAAATAGCAGCAGGTGGCTTTGGGACCAGACATACTTCTGTCTTCTTTGACTGAATACTATTCAGGATGTACAACTAACTCACTTCTCTCTGCTGCTTTTCTTTCTGATGCAATGTGAACCATGGTCTTGTGAGGATTGAATGAGGTCTGTGAATTCCTGGCACACAGGAATCCCTTGGTGAGTGATGATTGAGTTAACTTCCATGACTGGTGATGCCTTGACCATCAAACAAAGCCTTGGTGGGAGTAAACTAGGCCAATGGGCAGAGCTTAAGACTGTAGGTGAGCTGATTTGTAATATTATGGTCCTAAGCTAGACTCAGTCAGGTTAGTGCCACTGATCAGTCATAGTCCCTGGCTCCCAGCTAGCATGACCTGGTCCCTTTGCTGGGAGAGAGTAGAATAGAGGGAGCCTCTGCTATCTGTGGGCAGAGGATGAGGGTGAGATGGGCATTGGGACTCGGTACATGCCCAGTTCCTTTGGCTGGAATACCCACTCATCAGGGAAATCCCTGCTCCTCTCTTGGGATTGGTGAGGGGGAAGACAGGGTTCACTCTGGGGAAGCCAATATACAGAGAAATGCCAGGACAGAGGAGTGGGTGTCACCATACTGTGCTGTCCATGAAGACAGGGACAAGAGTCTCTCATCCGCTCCCATCAAGTTCTCCTTCCCTAAGGTTGTAGGCCATTGCCAGCCTTTCAGCTTTACAGCACCCCTCCCAGTGCAACGTGCTGGCCTTGGCCTGCTTCTAGGAACATTTTATAAGCAGTGTAATCACAGAATTGAAAGAGTATGGGTTGAAATACTGCCTTCAGACCATGAGGCTTTGTTAGGTTGACATAATTAGGAAGCTATAATTTTTTCCAGAATGTAGAGCTCAGACTTTATTGACCCATTTAATTTTTTTAATAATGGCATTTTACTAGAGCAGAACAGCATGCAGCCTAGGCAGCCTCTGGCTGGATCTTAGAATGACCTTAATTAAAATAATTTCTCTACTCTGTACCTTTTTCATAATACCCTGGCAACAAAACAATGCCACTTGAAAAAACAACTTCGTTGGTTTCTGTTGTTGTTACTAAAAGAGTAACAACACTGTCAGCTTCCAGTATCCAAGGTCAAGTGGGTCTGTATGATGTCTCTAAGGACTCCCCTCCTCCCCGAGTAATCAGTATTCTCAGATTAGCTGTTAGACCTGTGCTCTCACTGAGCTGGGCTCCTTAACTGGGAATATGGAGCCAGAGTATGTTGTTCATCGGGTATTTTTGGAACCAGTGTTGTACAGGTCCACCCTGGTGGCTGGTTGCATATTCTTTCAGAAGCCAGCACCTTTCTGACTTGGGAATGGGAATGTTTGACCCTTTCACTTCATTACTCCCAGAAGAGCCATTTAGATTGCAGAGTAGGGACATGTAACAGAGCTTGCCCACTCATCACCTGGAAATAAGGAGTCACTTATTCAGACTGGGAAAGAACATTCCAGAAGGAGAACCAGGGCTTGTAAGGTCCGTGTGCAGCATGTATGGAAAGTGAAGGAGCAGAAGGCAGCTGATGAGCCCGAGTCAAGGGCTGGGGGTAGGTGAGATGAACGCAGAGAGTTCCTCAAAAACAGCTTTGTGTATCCCAATAGCCTTTGCTCTTAGAAACCTTTGAAAGGCTCGACAGGATCTAAATCTGTGAGAGCATCCATGTGGCTGGGGTCCCAGAGCAGATGAGGAGAGGATGGACAGAAGCAGCAGAGCCTGGAGTCAGCTTCAGCTGCAGACTGGGTGGGAGATGGTGGTGGATAAATAATGGGGAATGATCTGAAGGTAACGTCTACAGGATATGTAAATAGATCTATACAAACTGAGAAAGGCAAGGAGTGCTAGGGATGATGTCAGGGTTTGGGGCTGAGCAACAGGAAGGAATGGAATCACTACCAGCACAGCCTGGGGAAAGCTCCTGGAGAGCATGTTTGAAGAGAGAAGTTAGGGGCTCCGTTTTAGACCCAAGTGCAATACAAGTAAGATGTGAGTGAGGCTGCCCAATGGGTCTTTAGATGTCTCTGTCCAAGTTTAGTGACTTTCTCTTTTCACTGATGTGTAGCACTTCAGAGACTACCCATCATTCTTTAAGATCTCCGTGTGTTCTTCAGGATCTTAACCGCATAGTGGAGAGCCTTTTCCCTGGTCAGTCCTTCAGGCATTGTGATGGTGCCAAGGATCCTGTCTTCACAGAATTGCTTCTTTTCTGCTGAGGTCGCTTGCCCTCAGTTCCCAGTGCTTCCTGTGTTCCTTTTGTGATCTGTTTCTTCTTGAGCACACAGGCCCAGATCTCAGGGTCTGTTTAAGTTTTGCCTGTAATAGCTGTTCTGTTCCAGGCAGTTTTACATCCCTAGTTTTTCCTTTTGGAACCTCCTGCCATCACCTAAACCTTGCCATTCTTCTCCCTCCTTTATGTCTGCCTCATTGAAACAGGAGCCTTTCTATGTAGCCCAGGCTAGCCTTGAGCTCTCAGTCCTCCTACCTCACCGGTCCTGGGTTCCAAGGGGTGCTCTGCCACACCCAGCAGCTCCTTCCTGAAATGTAAGTGCTATAAAATTTTATCATACCTCTATACTTTATAAGTGCTAGGAAACAGAGAGATGAGAGAGTCTGGGCATCCAGTTAGCTTAGTGGTAAACACTTGCTTGTCATGCATGAGGCCCTGGGTTCAGTCCCAGCATTAATTGGGATAGGTGGTAATAAACAATCATACAAATGGTACAAACAAATGAACGTGGAGATGAATAAGGCAAGAGTCTTAGCTCAAGGTCAGTAGCCCCAGGCCCAACCATCTACCACTGTTTCATGTGATGTGTCACCTCATCTCCCCTTTATCACACTTAGCCTTTCCATTGGCTACCGAGTCCCTGACCAGCTCTGGCAGTCACTAAGAGCAGAATTCCTACCTGTCCTGCATTCCAGCCAATTTGAAGTCCTTACCCTTCTCTCCTCCTTCCACTGTTACCTGCTTCCATTGTTATTCTTGCTTCCTTCAGCCATGCCTGCCTCTCAAGAATCAGTTTGTAGATTCCTCTGTCCCCATCCACTATACACATGCACGAACACACACATGCACACACCTTAGTCTGAACTCTCCAGACTCACTGACCATAGTGGCACACTCCTGTAACCCCAGCACTTGGGAGGTGGAACCAGGAGTTTAGGATTCTTCAGTTTTGAGGCAGTCTGCTATGGAGAAACAATGCAAAGTACAAATTTATTTTCCTTCAGGAGGAATGGTGCAGCCATGTGCTAGGCACATCAGTGTGGAGACACAGTGAGTGCATGCCATGTACTGCCCTCCCTGGGGTGCCTGGTTGACACAGGACCAGCCTTACTGTTCCTTTTCTTACTTCACTTGCATGTGCCCAGGTGTGGAGTAGATGTTATATGTTCACTCAAACCATCACCCACAGGGCTGGGGAGTGTATCTGGCCTCTGTCTCCATCCTCTGTTAGGACATGCCTTATTATATTCTGCCTGTCCTGCCCAGCACCTCATCCCACACGGGCTGACCATGCTCCACTTTGAGCATGTCACTACTGTCCACTTCTGGTTGTTTGCTGATCTCTCCTCGACTGAGTACCTTTTGTGGAGATCAGAAACAAGCCTTGCTCGGTTTTGATCCCCAGCCTAGTACTTATCCTAAGAGGGAATGAATGGCTTGTGAGGGTTACATAAAGGAATCAGATACACATAAAGCACTGAGCATAGGCCTGGCATATGTTCAGGGTTAGTCAGGCATTCCACTCTGTGCCACATGCTTTTACTGGGGAAGCAGACACAAGCACACAGTCCTTACTTCCCTATAGCTTCAGAGGAGAAAAATAGACTTTGTGTTGTTATTTGGGGGAACAATGAATGCAGTGGAATAAAGCAAAGCAAGGATCAGAAGCAGATAGCAGCACAGCAGAGGGGAGGGTCAGAGGTGGTTCCAGCTCTGTCCCAAAGCAGAGAAACAGAGGGCAGCTTTGGAGTGCAGGCACGGTAATGTTGGCCGAGTACCATGGAGGCCATTGTTTCTGGAGTGAAGTCAGAGCCACTTACCATAACAGAGTAGAAAGTCTGTGACCTGGGTCACAGGTAGAAATGGGATGTCCATGACTTTGTCTTCTGTCCTAGATGAACAGGTGAGTGAAAACGAGGTGGTTTGAGTATGTGTATTACATAAGTACCTTTTCAGGCTGCAGCCTGTGAGCCTGAAGCCCAGCTGTGAAGTGCAGAGTATTGAACTAGGCTGAGAGGTGTCACCATTACTCATTATGCTACACTTCCCCCGCTCTCTGGAAGCTGAGCCAGCTGCTCTCTACTGTAGTGCTGTGTTACTGAAAGTGGATGCTCTCACCATTCTGGACACTTCAGGAGGTTTAACCTAACATGGGGTGGGGGAATGTGGAATTTGTTTCTGTGGGCTTTTTATTGTGAGATTTGAAAACTGCTTTCCAGCAGTAAAAACAAACAGAACAGCCCACAAAAGTTTCTCATGTTTCAAGATCATGTCACTACAGCATGTAGGGTGAATGGCTTACAGCTCTAACGGAGTGATGTAGTCCTCAATCAAAGCCTCTGTTCCTAGCAAAGCTGTGTCCTGCAGCCTGCTTCAGTGGAAGCGTGGAGAAGACTGTACATCATGGCCTTCTGCTTCACTCTCTAGACCATTCTTACACCTGTTGGTTTGACCTCTCTGCTCCAAGTCTTAGCTTCAGTGTCACCTGGTCAGGGAAACCTTTCTTCTTGACACTCTACCCAGACTGCATTATATTCTCACGCTTTTGTCCTCTTTTTTAGCCACACCATGTCTGAATATGGAAGGATGACAGACACAGAGCGAGACCAGATAGACCAGGATGCTCAGATCTTCATGAGGACCTGTTCAGATGCAATTCAGCAACTCAGAACAGAAGGTGAAGTGCTCTGAAAGATGCCAACAGATCCCATGACTGTGCCAACCAGTTTAGCAACTCATTGTGCAGCCACTTACCTTTCCTTCTTTCTTTCTGAATGACATTTAAGACTTAAAATTTTATAATCCCTCTGAGCTAAGGTGATCAAAGCCCTAAAAAGACCATCACTCAGGTTTTAAAAAATGGAAGGCAGAAATGGAGAGGACCTCTCTAAATAGAATCCATAACCTACCAAAGGCCAAGGTCAGACAGACTAGATTGTGTGTGTGCAAGTGTTTGCATATCTGTGGAGACCTGCATGCATGGCTATGTTCTGAGTGGCAAGATGGATGCATGTAGCTAAGGATGGAACAGTATTCCCTAAGATCTACTTGTCCTACTAAAGTCAGCTCCCATACGAGACATCATGGTTGAAAGAAGGCTCTGCAGCCATGACTTAAAAGCTATGCCACATGCTAGCTCTGTGGCCTTGGGCAAATCATTTCATCTCCCTGGGCTCAACTTTTACATTGAAACAGTACAGACGATAACTAGACATATCTCCTAAGGTTCACTTCAATTCTTACAGCGTGCCTAGAACCCTGTCTGACAGTGGGAGCCTAGTATTATCTCCCCTTCATTGGGTTTCATCTCTGTTGAGGAGCTAGATGGCTTCCCAGTCCTATGTCTTCTTTGATTCTTAAGCATACACATCGTTACTACAGAGGTCAAAGTTGCCAGGTGCTGTGGGGCCCATGACAGAGACTTCTGGTGGAGAAGCTTCTGAGAGAACACTGATCAGCCACTGGGGAAGTCTGGTGAAAGTTTGCCAGAAATTCAAACATTCTGTGTCCAGCATTGTAGAGCCCCTAGGTCATTATGTGAGTCCCAGGTTATGTAGTCCTCTGGTAAAAACATAACCTGTGCCCCATACTCTTAAGGACATTAGTCAGGCATTTATGTGACTTTAGGCTACTCATTGCCTCTGAACCTCAGTTGGCACATCTGAGGTAGTTCTGTGAAGTCTCGTCATCATGCCTTCACACTGGGCACCCAGCCCCTCCACCAATAGCAATATCTTGCTATAGGAATTGCCACAGGCTTCTGTGTGGTAGCTTGTCCTTGTGGCTCATCAACGTGAAAGGTTCTTAGAGAGCAGAATAGTATGGATAGTGCCACTCAGTGTCAAAGGGGAAAAAGCAGCCACTGTAAGCTGAAAAGCAACTCAGGCAGAGGGTGTCTGGGTTTCCAGCATGTGTGATTTAAGCATGTCACTTGAAGGTGAGCCTGAGAACTGGATGCTGTTAATACAGCCAGGTCAGCATTCCGGAAGGCGCTGGATCAGCTCCGCTCTCCTGGTGCTATAATAAGCTATAAATTATTTGACTGCAGTTTCTATGGGTTTAATCTCTCACCTGGTGAACCCTAATAAATCTTACTCTTAAAAATGTAGTCTCACTTGACATGAGGCTGTTTTATAGCTGTGCTTTTGAACATGCTTTCAATGAAGCACTCTGGGGAAGCTGACTGTTCTGTAGGGTCCTTGAGCACAGACTTGAGTGCTGTCCTTTTCTCTTACAGCCCACAAGGAGATACATTCCCAGCAAGTGAAGGAACACAGGACTGCGGTTTTGGATTTCGTTGAAGATTACTTAAAAAGTATTTCATTTTCTTCTAAAGGTCAAATGTGGTGTTTTATAAGAGATGTAATTTAGAATGGAACTTTGCTAGCTGAAGACTATAGTGTCTCATTAGTTTTAATGATACCTTTGCCTGAGAAGCCATTTTAAATGGTCTCTGTTCTGGTTTTTTTCTGCTTCAACAGGAGTGTGTAAGCTTTACTCTGAACAAAGAGCCATCCGAGTGAAGCGTGTGGTGGATAAGAAAAGACTGTGAGTATTGCTGCCTTTGCTCTTCCTCAGTTAAAACAGGGACAACAGGAATGGCAACCAGAGCTCCTAAAGCTCCAACTCTGTGGGCTGCTGTGTGAGGTCTCACCAAATCCTGAGGACACACTGTGTACCAGGGGGTGCTGGTCAACTCTGTTAGTCCACAGCAGCCCATGAGGCAGATTCTGTCTTCCACTTTCTGATAATACTGAGGTTCATCTGGTTATCAAACCCCCATAGTCTCACGCCAGCTGAACTGGTATTGAGCACTCACCAATTTCTCTTTCTTTTTTGTTGGGAGTAATAAGGAGACAGTCTGGGTCTATAGACCACACTGGCCTTAATCTGCCCATAGTTTCTGTGCTTCAGCATTTAGAGTGCAGAGGTTACAGGTATGTGCCACCTACCTAGCTTTCCACCCTGTTCTTAATATCCCTATGAAGTGGGACAGTTGGAGCTGTTTGACCTTGGTCTCTGCCCCCCATACCTCCATCTTTGAAAGTTTTTCCAAAAAGGTGTTTTCATAGTGACCAATGTTCCTGTGTGACAATATGTTCTGTTTGGGTTGCTGATGGCTGTCGTTAAGAAGCTGATTGGAGGAGTCTAGCTGCTCATGTTCTGTAGTCTCATTGTCACCATCTAGTTTGTATGGTGAAGGAAAGCATACATGTTGAGGTGCAGTGTGATTCCCCACTGTAATGTCTTACGAGTTCAGGAAGTATTCTGTGGTAGCTTTTGCTCTCACAGAGTAGAGATGCCACATCTATCTATCGTACCAAAGGGCTCTTATTTCACATTGCTGAAAATACTTTGCTCATTAAGCCAGAAGTATTCCCAGTGAACCACTCTGCACTTCCCTACAGTAACTATATTGTCTGCAAATGATAGCACTGTTATTAAAGGTACCTGTTTTCATCTACCCTGATGGCATTTTTCATTCTGAGCTGACAGTGATACCTATTCCATGTTGCTTCAAGCTAGAGAGGGATAACTACCCTTGATCTCCCATCTCTCTGATTTTTTTCCTATAAGAATATAAGTTCTTTGGAGGTGGAGACCACTCTCTCCTGTCTTTTTTTGTCAGTGCATTGATCAAAGCCTGCTACAAAGTAGATGCTCAGCCATTGGTTCCTGAGTGAAGGAGACATCCAATGGGGCATGGCAGCTCCCTCCTGGCTCATTGTTTCTACAGAGTGAAAGCTTACAAACTAGAAATATGTGCAGCAATATTGGATGTAGCATTGGCCCAAGTGACTCTGTTATTCATCCCCAGTGGGTTTTAAATCCACCTCTTTTCAACTTGGTCTTCTTAAATCTCTGGTATTTTGAATGATTGAAGCTGAAATGGCCATCACACACTCTGGTTGCATGTATTCTCATGAAACATCTGAGCTATCAGAACCATGTTCTCTCCAGAAAAACAGCTTGTGTATCATGAGAATCAAGACTAGGCTGAGACTCTTGTCTGCTAGTGCAGAGGTGCCTTCCGTATGGTCCAGCAAGTGTCAGATGTTCTCTGTGCTTTCCAGCTGACCTGGCTCTGAGATTTACAAGGACCAGGCCATTATTCAAACCCTTCTCTTTTCTGGGACAGTGTTCATATAAGTAGAAACTTTTGGGATCATTCTCTGTCTCAAGGGAGATCTAAGAAGAATGAAAGCTATTTGTTAAAGATTATAACTTCTTCAAATACTGAGCTGATTACAAAGCAAGGTCAAGAGTGGATAACTCCGTAGTCCTTGCTGAGTTCATAACTCTAGCTTAAAGCTGTGATATTAACATGTCTTAGCACCACAGATGCTGAAGATGACTTTCCTAAGGCATTCAGAAGACATGTTGGTGGCCCAAGTACAGCTTACTCAGATAGTGTAGTCTATTGTTGGACCAGAAGGATGGTCTTTTTCCAGATTTCTGTTTACATGGGCTCTGTGCCATGATGATGCCTTTCTACAGGGAGCAGCAGGCCCTTCTCCAGCCCAGGCCAACACATATCAAAAAGCACTGCCATGATCTGCAGCACACAGGCCCCTTACATCCTCTGTTATGTGTTCCTGCTGTCAGTACAAAGGAGGAAGATCAGGCTACCTTTCTTGTCTTTTATAGGGGATAGCAGTTCTCATGTGATGCATGGCTTCATGTACTGAACTACGATTTAAAGAGTCTGCCATTTATGACTCCAGCCTCTCTCCTCAGCAAGATTGTCAGCCTGCTGCCAGCCCCTGCCTTAGATCCTGCACATAGTGAGGGTTCTAGGAATGCTGCCAGGGTTTGGAATGGTGATGGTGACAGAGATGGAGATGAGGAAGTGGAGAGACACTGTGTGATAGAGGGCCACAGTGGTGATTTGGCCTCGTCTTCTGTCTATGATGGGGACCTTGTCTGTTGCCTAGAAGGAGGAGTTGCAGACTGGCCTATGAGCCAAGCCTAGACTTTCAGCTATTTCTGTATGGCCTTCCAACTAAGCATGGTTTATTGTATTTTAAAGAACTCTGTAAACCAAGCAAGAAGGATGTGAGTTAGAGCCTAAAATGTTCACCATCTGTCCTTTTGCTGTGTTGACCCTGGCTTAGAGCAACCCCCCTTAATGTGAAGGGCCACATTTTTGTAGTTTTTGCAGTCCACCAGGGACTGATGTGTAGTCTCCTGTGCATGACACAGTCACAGCTGTGTCCCAGGTGGCCTGCCACAGTAGTCATGGTGCATGACACCAAGCGACTCTATACCATGTTCAGTGAGACAAAGGCACTGTCGGAGTTCTGTGCATCCTTGCCCCTTGTTTTGTACTTTACCCAGTTCTTAAAAAAGAACTTCCCTAGTAAGTGGTAAATGCCCAATTAATACCTGTCAGGTGAGTGTGGAGGTGCCTTAGGTAGAGGGAGCAGACTCTACTTTCCCTATGACTCAGAGGTCTCTGTCACTTAAATGCCACTTTGGACTAGGGCACTGGGATGTGTGTAGCAAGTGTCTCTGCCGTCTGTGTTGGTGTGTAAAAGACAGAGCAGCCCTTCTGGAATGACTTTTCTGTTTGCAAAGTGTGCTTTCACACTTTTTTTTTTTTTTTGCTTCAAAACCAAGAAAATCTGTCTCTTTCTTTTGTGTTCTTTTTACACAATTCAAATATAATCCCAGGGCTTTTCAAAGCCAGGGTCCTGTGTTGATCACAGTTAGACAATGTATGGCCCTTAGTTTGAAAAGTACCCTGACGTGAATCAGGGACATAAACAGATCTTTGTGTTGACTTTTTTTTTTTTAATTGCTCCCCCTCCCAAGTTGCCTTTAGCTAGCTAATTTGTAATTTCCCTGAGGATTTCAGTAGAGATTCTGTGTATAATTAGAATCTGTTTTTATCACCTTCAAAAAGTGTTCAACTTTGTCTCTGTCTGCTTCTCTGTAGCCCTTTATTTATTTTACACTGAAAACTGGCACTGCCATATTCCTGGGTGATGGGCATTAAGTGAAATGTTCAGTCAAGAGGCAGTGCAGCCCATCCCCTTCTTGAACCAAGCAGTCCTGAAACCAGGAGATGGGTAGGGGCAAAGGTGAGTGTCTGTGCTGATGAGGAGCCCTGCTGCCCAGGGTAGGATATCAGGGAGGGTGTGCAGTCAGAGAGGCAGTGAGAGGCATGCAAAGATAAGTATATCCTCTCCAGGAGGAGGAGTGGTGCTAGAGCTGAGGGTCTTGGCCCTCAGCTGATACAAAAGGTGCAGGAAGCCAGTTTTCTCATTGTATTGAAAAGAGAAAAGGCCAGGATATTTAGACCTTGTAATAGGGGTTAGAATAGTTTTCAGTTCCCATAGTTCAGTCTGGAAGTCAGTGTGGTATGTATCTGTGCACAGTGTGGGTTTTCTAGATCTGTCCACTGGGAAGGCCTGTGAGCAATAATACCACAGTAGCAACACACACACACACACACACACACACACACACACACACACACACACA